GCGTTGGTTTATGCAATGTCTCGCAGGAGGCCACGTATAGTGCGTCGCTGTTGGGTACATACAATACTCAGAAAACGTCTGCAACGGGGGGAATACCACGTTCTTGTCCAAGAGCTCCGCCTGGATGGTGTACTGTTTCAGCAGTACTTCAGGATGAGCAAAGACGCGTTCGACGAGTTGCTCGGAAAAGTCGGTCCACTGATTGCAAAGGCAGACACCCGTATGCGTTTGTCAATCGGACCCGCCGAGCGACTCGCCATCTGCCTACGGTACGTTTTGTGTATTTCTACTTCTTTAATATGACTCTGTATATAAAGAGAGAGAATGCATGCAATGGATGAATGAAGTCTGTGATGTAGTTCAGATGAATGACATTAATTAAGATAGCTAGGTAAACACAGTATTGCTCCCCTGTGTGTTTGTGGTCTGTGTGTGTCTGTGGTGTGTGTGTCTGCCTGTGGTGTGTGTGTCTGCCTGTGGTGTATGTGTGTGTCTGTGGTGTGTGTCTGTGTGATGTGTGTGTCTGTGGTATGTTGGTGTGTATGTGATGTGTGTGTCTGATGTGTGTGTCTGTGGTATGTTGGTGTGTCTGTGGTGTGTGTGTCTGTGGTGTGTGTGTGTGTGTGTCTGTGATGTGTGTGTCTGCCTGTGGTGTATGTGTGTGTCTGTGATGTGTGTGCCTGTGGTGTGTCTGTGATGTGTGTGTGTCTGCGTGGCATATAACTTTTAAAAAAAAAATCTTGTATATTACTTTTTTCTCAGGTACCTGGCAACCGGTGACTCGTACAGGACCATAGCATTCAGCTATCGGGTCGGGCATGCAACAGTGGCTGTCATCGTCAAGGAGGTTGCGGGTGCCATCTGGACCGCGCTGGTCGAGGAGACCATGCCGGTACCACAGACGGAGGACTGGAGAGCCATCGCTGCTGGGTTCCAGGAGCGCTGGAACTTTCCAAATTGCGTTGGTGCCATTGATGGGAAGCACGTGGTGATCCAGGCTCCGGCAAATTCTGGGTCCCTCTACTTCAACTACAAGTCCAGCCACTCCTTGGTACTGCTGGCTGTCGTGGATGCTGAGTACCTCTTCAGGGTAGTGGATGTCGGAGGTTTTGGAAGGAGCAGCGACGGTGGGAGCCTGCAGAATTCCGCTTTTGGAGAGAGCCTCAGAGATGGCAGTCTGCAGCTACCACCTGACACCGTCATCCCAGGAGCAGAGCGGCTCGGCCTTCTTCCCCATGTGTTTGTTGGAGATGAGGCTTTTCCGCTGCTGGACAACCTGCTGCGTCCGTTCCCTGGACGTCAGCTCACGCGTGAAAGGAGGCTGTTCAACTACCGCCTCAGCCGGGCCAGGTTGGTGGTTGAATGTACGTTTGGCATCCTCTCATCTCAGTGGAGAATGTTCCGGCGTGTCATCACCACCAGCCCGGAGGTAACAGAGTTGTGTGTGAAGGCCACCTGTGTGTTGCACAACTTCCTCCGCAGGAAGACAATAGGAAGGTCATCACGCACACCTGTCGTCGCAGAGTCGAGTGATGAAGCTCCAACCCTGCGCGATGCACCTATGATGGGCTCAAACAACGCCACACGCCGATCCATCCAACTGCGGGAGACCTTCTGCTCCTATTTGAATGAGGAGGGTGTAGTGTCATGGCAGCATAAAGTGGTGTAGGGTCACCATGGCTCCTCCAAACCAAAAGCTCTTTTAAGAGCTACCCATTTTCTTTAAAGAGCAAATATTCCAAATGAGCCATTTTAAAATCAAACATTCCTAATAAACATGTTTCTTGAATTGATATTATGATATGACAAACAACCTTTTTCTTTCAGCCCTGTTTTTACTGATAAACCACTCATAATTTCAATAGGTTTTCACATGACCAATTACAGAAGAAAGCACATTATATATACCGACATACATGAAGCTTCTGGTATGTTGCAACTGACAAACCACATGAACAAGTGAAGACACAGTATAGCCATAACATACTTGAAATAATGTTTTATTTGGTGAATTTGAGTGAAGTGTGTGTGATGAGTGATGAGTGTAAAAAAATGTAATGTGGATCAGTATGTGTGAAAAAATTATTAAATTATAAATTGTCCTGCTTTTCCACGTCAAAAATTAGCTGGTGTACCCCGAGGCGGACTCTTGCCCTCTGTGCCCTTGTCATCTGCCTCATGGTGGGCAAGAGGCTCTTGAAAAATTGCAAGTCCTCGTCCTCCTCCACCACTGGTGGGGTTGGCTGGGCAATTGCTGGGTAATTGCTGACAGCAGACAGCAGACTTCGTTCAAACGGGGACATCTCCCTCCCCCTCCCCCGTGTTTTGCCCCGGACCTCAGCATTCTCCTCCTGGCTGACTGCTGCTGGCTGACTGGCGGACTGGCTGGTGGACTGGCTGGCTGACTCACTGTCTACCTGGCTCTCTTCCTCTGCCACCAGGGTGGATGGAGGCAGGGTCTGCCGGGGGACATTGCTGGACGTCTCACGGTCTATGATGAGCCAAAGAGCTGTACATATAATAAAAATAGCCTACAGTAGAGACACTACATCAAATACAACAGCACAGATTGTTCAGAATATCAGTATGAGAAAAACGACACCCTCTGCATGTATTATATGTTATATATTATGCTTATAATATTATATATAATATTTTTTTATTAATATATGATATGTTATGCTACATTACTAGCTGGCTAAATATACTGTCTATGCTTGATAGCTGTGCATGTATTATATGTTATATATAGGGCCGGGACTTTAACGCGTTAATTAAGATTAATTAATTACACAAAAATTAACACATTTTAATCGCACTTATTTTTGCACCGCGGAACATTTCTCACTGGATGAGTTTCAGGCGTACCGATTATACTGGAGCACCAACTAACGTTCATGACTTCAGACAACAACAAACCACAGTGAACAACAGTGGGAAATGTTGTTTTAAAAAACGGACGGATGGAAGCGTCGATAAGAGCACGGTTGTGTGCAAATTATGCAAAAAGGAATTCGCATATTACCGCAGCACATCAAGCCTCAAGTATCACCTCAATGCAAAACATATAGCAGCTAGCGTGGACGTTAGCCTCTTTTATCGCGTTCACACCAAAAAGAGCCGGTACTAAAATTAGTTCATGAGAACCTTTTTTACCCCCACGAAAGTCCCTGCTAGAGAGCTGCTAGAGAGCAGGGACTTTCGTACGGCTCTCTTGTGAGAAAAGAGCTATATTTCTGATTGGCTGGGCGGATTGCAAACCACGCCCCGTAAAACTCCCTAAAAAGTTTTGTGAAGACGCCATTTTATTATCCTCGCATTAGCATTATTAGCATTAGCCCAGCGCAGAAACGCAGAGAGACTAACTTATGGCAACACAAAATAAAACATGGGAGCGGTGGAGATGAGGAGGTGTCGGCGTTCTGGTGATTTACTCGGAAGGCTTCAGTAGAAGCTGCTGGGACTCCCAGCAGCTTCTACTGAAGCCAGTCCCCAACTCCGGGGACTTCCGGCCGGGGATTTTGGGCGGCAGTATACGCCGTGAAGTGGTTTGCGGCCTGCCAGTAAACCCAAAGCAGAAGAAGAATAAGTGATGTCAGCGGCTTCATTTGCCTAATCCACCCCCAGGTTCAAAGAGTTCTCATGAACTAAATTCTCATGAACCTTTGTGGGAAAAGTACTGCGGTGTGAATGCGCCTAATGGTATACTAAAATCCATGTGAAAAAAATTGCTTCTCACTGTTCTTAGGTCAAATATTTGTATGTGATTAAAAATGCGATTAATTTCGATTAATTAATTACAAAGCCTCTAATTAATTAGATTATTTTTTTTAATCTTAGTTATATATTATGCTTATAATGTTTTTTTATTATTATATTAATATATATTATATATTATTATGCTACATTACTAGCTGTCCATTCAATGCTAAAACGAAGTAAACTGGATATAAACTCCCCAGAAAATCTACCAGTTTCACCAACTGTCTCTGCCACCTCCCGCCATGCCTGGTTCCTCCGGTTTAGGTCCCGGTAGGTGAACAGAGTACAGTCATATACAGGACTGGGACATTTGCCACAGCAATGATTAATTTGTCCTCCATTTTATGACATATGAAAAATAGTCAAGACCTGCGGGATCAGCATACACGCGGTTTGATTGGCTAGCGCTTGTACTGGCGGGAATTGCAAAAACGGGATTTGATTGGCTGACGCCAGCTTCGAGAAAGCATCGAGCCTCAAAAGTTGAACATTGTTCAACTTTTGACGCTCGCGACGCTTGCAACGCCTTGCCAAGCTACCCACAATGCAGTTCGGTGAAGTTTGAAAATATCCTACGTCACCCCATTCAAATGAATGGGCGAAGCGTTGAAAGCATTTGTTGACGCCTGTAGTGTAGACGGGCCGTAAGACTCAGAGGGACAAAAATGGGATGGTGAAATAATATTTGAGATCAGTGAAGATTTCAGGCAGGATTGGGTAAAAAACGAACTGGGTAAACAAGATTATGTGTCAGACAAGTCACAGTGGCTCCATTATTGGAAATGTGGCTTTTTTATCCTGAGAGCACAACAACAGGTGTGTTTTCCTAAATGTACTGTGATGATTCCTGTGTTTGTCATCTCTACATATATTCAACAGTTACTGCCTCGGGCTAACATGTCTGATACAGGAGTCATTTGCATTATTAAATATAAACTTCCCTCCAGATTAAAGTAAACTATGAGATATGTCTTGTTGGTGTTTTTAATAACCACAGATGCTTTGCATGTCTTTTAGGGATTTGAAGAGATGAGTTAATAATTAGAAAGAGTGGGCTATGTGTTACAATAGAACAACAATGTTAAAGAAATGCTACTACTACTTTGTACGTCAGACAGTGCGGAATCACCATTGCAGTTAAATCATATGTGTTTTAGGAAATCAAAGCAAATTGATTAATCTCCACTTGCTACAGATTCACTTCTTTGATGTTTGGGATGGTTTCGGTATGAACTTACAGCACTTCTGTGGGCTTTGGTTGTTGCGGATCAGAACCTTCTGGTTTTCAGCACGGAACAGTCTGGTCCAGTTGACGGTGCTGGAGTAGCAAAGCTGGCTGTTCTCTGCGATGTGGACATTCCCAGCGCTGATCTCTCTCAGGGACTGCAGCTGCAGAGACGTGATGCCCTGCTGCTTCAACACCAGCAGGGAGATCCCACTGAGAGGGAAGAATGGGTGGAGGGGAGGAGGGAGGGGAAGAGGGGAGGAGATGTTGAGACAGGAAGAGGAGGAAGATGAGAGGAGCAGGAAGAGATGGGATAAGGTTTAACAGGGAGTGGAGGATTTATTTTATTAATTTTTGAGCACAGGATTAATTTCACAGGTTTTTATCCCTAATTAGATAACAAAAAAAATTATTCTGTGACCTATTTATGAAGGTTGTATTTTTTTGTAAATAAATGGCTTCATTTTTTTTGTGTGTATAATACCTCTTTAAGGAAAATGTAAAGCTCACTGGAATAATATTATTTAAAATATCTAAAACCCTGTTGTTGATGTCAGGCAGAGATGATCTAATGTAATTAATACAAATGAAAATAATGACCATAAGTAAAGCAACCTAACACATGGATCTTACACCCAAACAAATGATTCACTGAACACCCTATATTTGAAACACTAATGCAGAATAGGTGCATATTAATTTCTTAGAATTATTATGGGACATGATTAGTGAAACACACCAAGCATGGGCATGGAGCTTGTTTATTTATGTTGCTCAATATATAATTAAAAACAATATCGTAGGATACACTTATTTGAATTGTGAATAATATATAAATAGAAAGTGCGTGCACATTAAAAAAACATGTACAACGAGAATGCTATTGCTCTCTCTTCCTATAGCCTATGCAGCCATTTGCAATCTGGATTGGCCTATACATGCTTGAAATCAATCAAGCTTAAATAAAACATGTGCATTACATATAAAGCCTGACCAACATCATTTGGTATACTTTAACGGACATATTTAACACATAACTTTTATTTCCTCAGTGTACTCATCTGCTAATCTTGTCAATTATCAGCCTATGTGTTGCACTTGAGCCACTGAGACACAAATTAATGGAGACTGGATTGTAGAATAAAATCCAAACATAATATTCAAAGGCATGTGACTGTTAAGTGGAAAACACATTTGCAGTATATTAAAGAAAGCAATCTGAGAAAAAAATACTTTAGTACTAAAGTGGGGAAACGAGTAGCCACATTTCAATTAATTATTTTAAATAAGCAATACAGATACAGTAAACACCTTCGAAAAAAAAGGCGATTATCACATGGTCTTTTTTGTGAACAATTGTTACTTTACAACATTTCACTATACTGTGTATAGATTATTAAATATGTTTCCTATGTACATTTTATTTCTTGTATTCCAGTGTTTTGCTAAATCTTGCTGCAACAACAACAACAACATATTTTACACATGTTTTCCTCATTTTACACTAAAGCCACTAGTACTTTCGTTTATATTCTTCCATGCCTCCACCTTTCCCCATACCCCCACTTTCACAAAATAAAAATGACAGTGTCAATGCCTTGCGTACACACACACACACACACACACACACACACACACACACACACACACACACACACACACACACACACACACACACACACACACACACACACACACACACACACACACACACACACACACACACACACACACACACACACACACACACACACACACACACACACACACCACACACACACACACACACACACACACACACACACACACACACACACACACACACACACACACACACACACACACACACACACACACACACACACACACACTGTTTTTGTTCCAAATGTCATAGCAAATCTGTGGACACCTTTGGAACTATCAGTTACGATTAATTATACATAAGTATGTTCTATCAGTTGTGTCTCAACCAACCAACTGTTTTGATTTGATGTAAACCATATTTCTTAGTGACCAACTAACTCATTAGTTATGGAAGCACAACAAACCAGGTCACGTCTAATTCAATTTGTAGTCAAATATATAAACCAAGCCACACAAATCTTAATACAATAATTTAGCATGATGTAGGATACTACTATCTTCAATCCTCTGTCTTGTTACAGAGTGCTACTATGGAAATGTCACATCATGACACTCCCTCTGCAATACATTATGGTAGCATGTTGAAGTTATGTGTTGAATTAATTATAAACTGGCTAGTTGTGCTAACAATAACAACAAACATTGTAAAAGGTGTCCTAGGAAGTTATTGACTTTTAGAAGCATTAAGGAGTAGTGTTTATATCAGTGGGTACCATTACTTTGTCTCATGCACATGCACGAAGACCACTGTGTATATATAAATGAGGACACACTAGTTTATGCATGATTGGTTGGAAAAATCAGTTCAGCCATTGGTTTAACACAATTCCGTTGATCAACACAATAATGCTGCAAGAGGCACAACAATGTGTCAACAATGGCAAAGCAGAAGAAAAGGGCTTCAGCATGTCAAATGTTTTCTGAGAAATGAAATGCCATTGACACATTTACTAGACCTCAAGGATACAGAAAATAATTGTTTGTGCGTTTCGCTAAATGTAAGCAACAGTTTGTTGACAGGGAAGCCACAACTACTTAGTCTCTGATTAAGTGGGATGCTTTCAAATGTTTGATAAACCCAATCAACGCGGAATTAAGTCTGGTTTTACTTTGTGAAGGAACTCTTGTTTAAGAGAAAAATTGTGATATTCAACATTATTAACTTTTTAATAAATCTAAACCCATACAGATATTGTTAGCATGGCTTTTTTTCCTGACAACCAAGCTCTGTTTAAGGCGGCGATGACACAGCTATGATATATATTACACTCATGGTCCAAAACATTTCTTATCCAACAAATCATTAGTTCTCAGTTTTGTACCTGTATAGCGCTCTTCCCCCAATAGTTGCCAGGTTGGAGAAGACACTCAGGTCTGTCATGTTGTCAGGCCAAGACTGGATGTTGAGATAGCCTAAATGTGGACACAGACACACAGGTTACAATGTAATGAGTCACCAGTACCTACACACTAATATCAACTGTCTATCATATCCTCTATTTCACACAGTGACAAGAATAAAATGAGGAGGGAGAATTGGAAGCTTGAATTAGAAACCTCCGAGGACCACCGTTACTACTCCACCTGAGTCTCATCTGAAGGCAACAAAGCCAAAAAAAGTTGTAGGCACAAAATCTCAACAAAGGTGTTTGGTGCCAGCTATGACAAGTGTAAGGTTTGACATATCAATATTTTTGCATTTCCTTTATCCGCCTTTCTACTGTTGAATCATTTAGAAGACTAAATGAATAGCTGATAGGATGGCTGTGGCTCATTTAGGATATTCAATAATGGATTTAGATATATGAAATATTAAGTAGAGAAAGGGGGTTATAACCCACAGGCTAACACCAGCGGATAAACAAGAAGTTGGATGAGGCTTTGAGATGAGGAATACAATGCAGGTAAAGGAGCAAAGGTAAGAGATGAGTAGGAAGAAGCCTGATAATAGGGGTCCTGGTAGCAATAACAAAGACACATTACTTTATCATCCAAAGAAAACACAAAGGCCAAAAGCCGCTGCTCTATTGCCTTGCTGACAAAGGAGGTGGTGGTGGATGATGAGAAACAACCTTGAGGGTGTAATGTGTTCTTCAATCAATGAACAGTTTTTGACTCCATAATAATAAACTGTGTGGTTCCCTCCCACGGGATGCATAACTTCTGTTGATCCAGAAAGGGAGGGAAGGTGGAGAGAGTTAAGCAGTGTTGCGGAGAGAAGGCAGCTCATGGCTTGTTGACAGGAGAGCAATAACCTTTAACAGAACCTTTATCAGTTTGTGGATGCCGTTTTGTTTGTTATGTCTATCCCAGCTGAGAAGCGGCAGGGTCTGAGCGAATGCTTATTGTGTTTGATGAAGAAATTAGAAGGAAAAAAAGTCAGGTAATTTGTGGGGAATTGTACACCGGGGCTCATACAAATGGACATGAGCTGAATGCGATACACATCTTTATACAACATCTATTCTTCTTATGTAAGCGCTCAATGTGTCGAATCAGGTTAAAAAAATAAAACATACCAGAAAATATTACTTACATTTTTCACTAAATAGAAAACAGCACTTCTCAGTACAGCCTTATATAACACTCTTTATTACTTTAAATCTTTAATCTCTTTTCCCAGAGAAGATACAACCTGGGTATAATAATGGCTTCTATTATAATGGTATAGTAATGGGAATTAATTCCGTTGTAAAACATGATGTGATATTTATACAGAATGCATGCAGGAAACTGGTTGTTTGTGAAAGCTAAGGTTATGGTATTTTGTTGCATTGCATCCAGAACCCTGACCTCATGGTGTGCATTTTAGGACGCCAAGGGCCTCTACAGAATCATTACAGTTGTATTTGTTGCCACTAATTGTTTTAATGATAACACCTGCAGCGCAGAGGCACCTCACCGCCCCATCGTAGTGCTCTTTCGGGGTATGCCAGTGCATCCTAATAAAAATAAACAAGCTATTGCCTGCTGCACATTTGTCTGTGTTCATTTAATACTGGGCAAGCATGTGCTTTGGTTGCTAAAGGTACACACTGATTCTCTGTGGACACATTGTACATTCCGCTAACTTCTAGAACAAGTGTATATTTAATTGTTTAAAGGGGGCCTATTATTATTTGTAGGGTTTTCCCTTTGCTGTAGTGTGTTATCTAGGTTTTTGTGCATGTAAATGTATATTGGCAGTACTGTGGAGCTTTGGAGTCGGGCACAGATGGATGGTGCTGATGATAATGAAGCATTCCTCGTTTCCATGAAATATCGTTTGCAGTTAAAGATAACGTCTGAAAATGTTTTATGTTGTTCTTATCAAACTGGAAGGAAATTATTTTAAAAGACCAAAACCAACAATGACTTGATTATACTGACAGGAAATGTCAGTGTAGCCTGATGCAACTTATTTATATGTCTAACAGTTCTCCAAATCAGTAAGCTATGGCATCGCCTTGGGAGAAATGGTCTTTCGAATACACTGCAGTTCATTTTTAGTCAATCACAAAAACACAGTCCAGATGCAACTAAAACTCGCAATAACTTATACATCGTAATCTGTAAATAATGTAGTCACCATGTGCAATATTTACTTGCTTTTCAGAAACCTTTGTTGAAAGCTGCCCAGCTGTTTAGGGAAACTTCCAGCTCTCTTTTTACCAAATCAAACTATATTGTTGTACCATATTAAATGATTTATAGTAGATCTTCAGTAGGACATACTTTGGCTTGTGAAGCAGACTAGGTTGGGAAGTCAGAAAGTATAGAACAAACAAACCATTGTATTGTTTGTTTGGTCTTTTCATTTGTTGAGGTCTAAAAAGCACAACATAGCAGTCTATGTGATGTGTACAAATAATAAAATCATAGATTTGAAACTATTCCACAAAAGAAACACCTACAGTATATGCTAAAGTATTCCAGTGAGTCAAATATTATCTGTAATACATGGGCAATACTTAGTCAGCTAATGGGAATTATCTTTGTAATAGGTGTGATGGGGGGTAAATGCCAACGCTAATCTTTTAGCGACTTCCCCTTCTTCTAACCTCTTTCAATTAGTGCTTTTGTGCATAAAAAGCAAAGTAAAAATATCACCTATAGCTGCAGAGCGTCACATAAGTGGCACGCCAATGCACACGACAAATTACAGCTTGGAGCCACTTAGAGAAGAAGGCCATTAGATCACAAGCAAAGGTTAAGAGGGCTTAAATTGTGGTGATTACATTCCGAGCCAAAACACCTAGAAACCCACTTATGCTAAATTGCGTGAGTTGATCGCCCACTCTTTGGGCGAAGCTTGAACTTGTGATATGTCTTTGAAGACATAGGAGAAGCATGAGTCGCTTAAAGAAAGAAAGGAGGAGAAAATAAAAGGATTGGAGGGAGAGAGAGCTGTCTTCCTACAGGGCTAATTTGAAAGCTACAGCAGTGCCAGTTGCGACCTTGGGGTCACAGAGGCAGGTTGGCTGCTTCTGTCAGAAGTCACGTTCTCCTGACAGCTCAGAGGGATGACAAGTGTGGCTAACACACATCTCGGACTACATGCTGCTTGGCCAATGGTTTGTCACCATCACCTGCTCTCAGACTGCCATCACCAAACAAAACGGGAAAACATTCTAGATAGGAAATCGTATTATTCCATTATTGTACAGTATTTTCAAAAAATCCCATCAAAATGCACTCAGATTTTTGCATCCGGGCACACATTTTGAGCTCAAAATCTGAAACAAATAGGTGATTTTCTAAGACAACAGGTAATTCTGCAGTTAATGAGTAAATTACAGCTCTACAGCGGTTCTTCTTTTTCCTCCGCAGGCTGCTGAGGTTCAACATGGACTCCAGGATACTCTGCAACTTCTACAGGTGCACCATAGAGAGTATCCTGACTGGCTGCATCACGGCCTGGTACGGCAGTTGCAATGCCCTCAACCGTTACGCATCCTACACACGGTTTCTTCAACGGAGACGCTTCCCATTCACTTTGAATGGGGTGACGTCAAGCTTTGCCGAACTGCATTGTGGTTCCGTTGCTTCGCTTTGCCTGCGTTGCTCATGCTGAAAGTTGAGAAAAGTTCAACTTTTCAAGCGTCGACGGAAGCGCCAGCCAATCAAATCATATGCCAGTGCAAGCGCAAGCCAATCAATCACATGCTTTGTGTGTCCGGGGCGGGAGATTAATGTGATTGGTTGTTGGTCGCCCATCGGCAAGCTTCAACGTGATATAACCGTGTGTAGGTGGCGTTAGACCAGGGATGGGGAACCTCCGGGTCCCGGGCCGTATACGGTCCGCGAGGTAATTTATAAACACACGCAAAAAAGAAAAAAAAATAAGAAATCTAGACCGCAAACAAATTAAACAAGTGAGTGCCTGTTTTTCCTGGCCAAGGTCAGGGTCCTTGAACACAACACGAGCCTAACATGTCATCAATTGATATATGTCTCGTCTGACAGGGGTGCAGTTCTGACAGAGAGCACCAGAACGCCGCTCCGGCACTTCAGAAATTGCAGTACCCATAAGGAGCCGTACACATGCCGCAGTTTCTGCGTGGCTGTGTCTTTAGTTGAAAGACTAATCGTATGACGATCTGTTCATCTGTCATACTGATCATACAGTCAATAATTTGTTGTTATTAGCATCTGGTTAGCTAGCTATGCTAACGAATATAAGAAGCTTTTTCTCCAACCAGTGAGGTAAAGGCACATCTTTATATGATCATTATAGTTCTAAAAAAATAAGAGAATAAAGTAAACAGGTATAAAATACTATATGACCGTAAACAAAGTTATTATTAATAAACAAGAATGCAGTTTGAAAGAGGAGTGATTTGTAAAATATCCATAAAGAAAAATAAATCTGCTTACAGTTCTGTTTCATATGGATGTTGAGAAATGTATCCATAGATCTCTTAATGTTGCACTTTGCTCTCAAAGTGCACCAGATTGATGCTTTTAACTTCAATATTTAAAAAAACAAATCTTCCCAGGGGAGAATGCCCCCGGAGCCCCCTAGAGGAGGTTAGGTCCCCCCCCCCACACTTAAATCATGTCCACATGGATAGGAAACTAAATACATTTGTATATCTTTCTGTCACAACCGTGCACATGGCTGCATACGCGAGTCATGGTAAGATATCTGGATTCAGAGGTTGCTTTTTCTTTGCACAGCATGAAAGAAAGGCAAATTGAATGGGCTGTGATTTTAGTATTTTTAAGCAGAGGTCAATCATTTGTACGGCCCTCGGAGGATGTTGAAAAAATTGAAATGGCCCTTGAGAGGAAAAAGGTTCCCCACCCCTGTGTTAGACTCTACAGAGGGTGGTGAAAACTGCACAGCACATTACCAGGACGGAGCTGCCATCCATGGAGGATCTCTACACCAGCGGCTCCGGAAGAAAGCCTTAGTTGTGTACTATATAACA